GGGGAAATATAAAATGGCATAAAAAAGGAGAACGCAAATGAGCGTCTTGACAAAGAGTCTATTTGTTTACGCAGCTGCAGTTGCGTTTTAATTAAAATGCAGTTTACAGTTGTTTGGTAATGAAAAAATAATTTATTGTGCATGAGTTCCACATAATTTTTACGTTCGAAACGCTGTTAATGAAAAAGCAAGGAAATCTTAATTTTCATGCACTGTGCATGCTAATTGCTCTATTCCCTAGACAGTGCAATTAGCATGCATAATTCACTTACACTATATGAACAGTGCAATTCACTTGCACTGTTCACACATTTTTTTTCTTGTATTAATTTTATTAGCATAAAAAAAACTAATTTAGAGAGAATTCAATTCATTCGCATTGTAATGTGAACAATATTTTTTTCCTGAAAAACTGTTATAAAGTGAATTAAATTCACTCGCACTGTAATAGCAATTTTATACCTGATAATATTTTATCTAATTTTATTGCACGCTCAAAAAATTATGAAAACTGTAATTCTTATCGGATGAATTTTATATGTAATGGAATTATAAATAATTTAATGAAATAATAAAAAATATTTTATATAAAGTATTATTTATTTTATAATTAATAGTACTAATTAATTCTATAATATTTAAATTTAAAACCATCAATATTAATATATATTTATTTAAATTATTTTATAATCTCAATTTCAAAAGCATTCTTAACCAAACATATTAAATTATCTTTTTTTTTAATCTTAATTTAAACTATATTTTTAACCAAACATTTATTTTTTTAAATCAATATTAATTAAAAATATTTTTTATAAAATAAATTTTTTTAAATCATAAACATAATAATAATTATTAAAAATACCAAAAACACATAAATGAATGGAATTAGTATCAGTGTGGCTGTAGGAACTCTTGGTCTTTTCGCATAACCGCTGCTTGAGTCACCGACGAGAGATAGAAGACTGCTATAGAATTAGAAGAAGTTGTTGTCCACGACTGCTACTTCAGTCACCAATGTGAGATAGAAGACTGATATAGAATTAGAGGAAGTTGTCGTGCATGAATAAGCCCTTTGTGGAAGCTCTTTGCGAAAGAATAGCTCCTGATGGGACGTTAATCAATAGGAATAGGAGCATCTGCTGCATCGAATGGCATCTTCTTCTAGTGGCCTGGTAAGAGCAAAAGTGTGTATGACTGGCCTCGGTTCTATCTGAGAAATCCTGCTCAAGAAGATGGTATTCGTGTTATGAGCGCAAAGAGAGCTTGTTGAGGAACACTCAATCGTTAACAGGGGCACCGAATTCTAAATTTGTTAGTGCAAATACGTTGCTTTTCTTAAGTAATTCTCAGAGAAAACTGGCAAAAAGAATACACACTCACCAGAAAGAAAAAAATTGAAAAAGAGCCATGCATGCATACCTGCTAGGACTAGGACTAATGGAGGCTTTACAGACAGTAATGCTCTTTGATATCCACCTCCGGGATCCTTTCCTCAACTAAAACAATAAATCTTTCTGGTTCTGTGTGAGCAAAGTCGGCAAAATGTAAAAGAATTCGTTTCCACTTCTAAACTAAAACGGGCACACGGGGAAGTCATATTGGTAGGGCTAGGAAAATAACTGAAATTTTAATCTTCTTTAAATAATTTTTAATTTTTTTTTTCTCCACCTCTGGGTTGACATATACTGGAAATCAACAAAAAGAGAGAAGAAAAAATGCCTAATTTGTGTTTTAAAAAAAAAGTTTCCTAATATATGCACGGAATGCCACTCGTTGTTTGCTATTGTACCTTGTAAAATTCAAGAAGCATCATTTTTTTAAGTGGTTGATTAGCAGTATAATTATAGTTATTTTTTAAATAATTTTTATATTAAAATACATGTTAATAATTTTTTTTTATTTTTTTAAAATTATTTTTTATATTAGTTTATTAAAATAATTTAAAAATACTAAAAATATATTAATTTAAAATAAATAAAAAAATAAAGAAAATTAATATTTTTCAAAAATGCTTTTAAAAGCAGAAATAAACATTCCTTAAAGCGAAGGAAATAAAGGAGGCACGCATTCCAAAATCCAAAGCAATGGAGGAAAAGAGAGTCAAAATTCTTTGGAATTACGCAATTGTTTTCGAGACAAAGAAATCTTTAAAACAAGGTGTCACTACAACTATTTTCAATGAAAGGATCATAAAGTCCCCCATTGCCCGTTAAAATTATTGGTTATTATTTATACATGACGACCCCTTCTATTTGGTTTTATATGCTGTTCTTTCCAATTTTATATTTGATTTTATAATTGTGAAAATTTAGTATGATTAAATTAAATTTTATTTTAAAAAATATTTTTAAAAATTTTATTTTAAAAAATATGTTTAAATTATAAAACTTTCTCAACTATATTTTTGAGACATATCCATTTATTTTTAGTACAAGTAAACTTATTCCAATGGGGCATCTACAGAAAAATTTAAATTTTATCATATATTATTTTTATTTTATTTTTACATAAATAAATAAAATAAAATTAAAATAAACAACATGAAAAATAAATGAATCTTTATAAAAAGTTAGAATTTAAAATGAGATATTCAAGATATCTTATTATAAAACAAGATCCTATTAATAAAAATTAACCAACAAAATTATTCTATTAATAAAAATTAACCAAAAAAATTGAAAAATGACTTAGAAACCCTACAAACCTTTATAAATAAAGACTCAACCTAGTAAGAGAAAAAAAAATTCTTAAAGATATAAATTTTCTTTAAAACAAACTTTTAAAGTAAGGAAATTTTCTTAAAAGTTTCCAAGCCTTTTTTATTTGCACTTGAAGTTTACAAATAATAAAATTATATTAGATCAAGTCTAAATGTTTTTTAAAAATTATTCAATAATACTTTAAAGACAAATCAAATATATTTTTTAAAATAACAAATATTAAATCTTGCTTCGCGATACAAATCTAAATTCGAGTTCTTGTAAAGCAAAAATTTTAACTTGATTTCATAAATAAATCAAATTATTATATATCAAACCTAGAAGAAAAATCATATGATTGTTTTATTTTTTTAAAAAAAATATTTTAAATAAAGATGTTATCCAATCATATTTTATACATCTATACTTATTTAATTTTGGGTGATCAAAATTATGTATACACATACATAATCAGATTCCATTTTATTTGTCTTTGGCTTGTAGATTATATGCTTAACCAACGTGGTCGAGTTTGTTGGCTTTAGAAAAGCCACTTGCATTTGGTTGGTCTCTAGCTACTTGTAAAATTATTAATTTTGCTGAGCAATGTCGATGATGATTTTGAACATAAGAACATGCGTGTTCATCATTTAGGGCGCGTCTGTGGAGAGCCTGAAAACCCAGTCTTAGAGACCTTTTTGGATTGTCCCCAGCAAATGTTGCTTTGTCTCTTGGGATATGCATGCAGATTTTATGCTTTCTGAATGTCCCCCCCTCGGATTTTTATTTTCACCGCATTTGTGATGAAATTGAACTGGCATTCACCTCCCCTTTTGATCTGCGTAGTCTGATGCTTGCTTTCACTTTCCCTCGTTCAATACCACTCTGCTACCCAACGTGAAATAACACCCCCGTGGGCAAAGTAACTGGTTACTAGAAGAACAAATACTTGGCCCTATTTGACCACAGTTCTCAGCAACACAGGTTTTAAGCACCCTTTGTGGATTGCTTTTTAGACTTCTTTTCCAAAAGCAAACAGCAAACAAAGGGAATAATATGCTTTGTTTTCTCAGAATTGTACAATGATGCCACCCATAATGCTCATATCCCCACTCTTTTAGTTGTTTGAAAGATTAGAGGGCCAACAAAAATCTGTACGAAAAAGCTATCGGAGGACATTTTGAAAAACTTGGGGAACAAATTATAAACACATCGCCTCATGCTTTTCTACAAATGTGATCTCTTGTACAAGTCTTATTTTATTTTCCAAAAACAAGAATCCATTTAATTTTGTTAAGTTAAATCGAAACCCTTTCTTGCGTCGTAACATGTTGTTTATCAATGGGAATTTGAATGTCTAGGCTTTTCCACTGCTAAATAAGGGTGTTTAGTTCCAAACCTTTTCTCTCTTTCTAGGAAACACTCTAAGAGGGATATATATATATATATATATATATAGACACACACACACTCACACTCTGAGATATTCAACTCCAAAGACTATGATCCTCCTGTTTTTACTTGTGTCTTCTAATCATATTTTACCCATTTATATATATAGTCAAGCTTTTATAACCCGCTGTAAATGCATATCCCTCCATGTTTAGATCCTATACCTAGCAAAATGGTTATCCAATTAAAAAAAAAAAAAAGAGAGAGAAGAAAAGGTCCCATTGAGCAAATCTACAAAGGACGCGTGAAATCAGGTCTTACTCTTAAATTAATTGGAAGTCTTGGAAAAAATTCTTTTTCCTCCAAGTTATTAGATTAATTGAGGATTAGTGATTTCTACAGTGAATCAATCCCAATTATTTCTGGATTGAAACTAAGTTGCATTCATGCACATATACAAACAAGTTTCACCTTAATTAAATCAAGCTATAGTGGAAGAATATGCTTTTTAGCATGCTTTTAATAAAGCTAGAAAAAGGTAACCCTTTTACTTTCAACGTTTCATACATTAACTCAAACGTCAGAGAACATGAAGCAAACTTCATGAACGTTGATTGAGCTACATTGTTTTTGGTCACCATTGTGCATGGGGAAGTGCCAATATTGTAATGCGTTCTTGGTGTACCTTAAATATGCCATCCTCTATTTCGTAAGGACTGTGCATGGTATTCTTAGCTTTTCCTTTTAGAGATTAATTTGTGTCTGTGTAGGCCACCTCATGAGTACTTGTATTGCTTTGCTATACCTCGTTTTGTTTTTTCTTGTCAGAAACAATGCTACGCGACACAGTAGATTAAGTACAATTAGTGTTGGCCATTTCTTAGTAGCTAAATCAAACCTATAAGATGCACAGCAATACATTATTTTGGCATCATTGCTTCAAAATTAATACAGTACAGCACGACTATATATGTTGCTGGGATATTGAATAACGTTTGAATTACTAATGTTTATCAGCTCAATTCAAATGATAGAACAAATGATGATGATGATGACTGTTGCTGTAATGATAGCAAGTCAAAAAAGGCATCAATAAATAAGCGATCTGCTAATGTTTTTTCATAATGTTGCAAGTCTAGTTGACAGAAATGATGAAACGAAAGAATTTATGGACTTCCCCGAATCCTTGTTTTCCACTTTTGTGGAGGAACGGAATTACTGATAGGATTAGGTCCTGAATGTACTTCATGCAAGTATTTCCTTTGAACACGATCGCCTTGATCTGCAAATGACTGAAAATTCACCAGAAAGAGTATAAGAAAAACAACGAGTATTTAAAGCTTTGATGATTTCACTTGGACAAATGAGAGCAGAATATTATATATGTTACTTCCTGTACTGACCTTGACTTTAAGATTTGATGATTTCATTTTGGTATTTCCGGTATCTGAAAAAAAAAAAAAAGACAAACCAACAATTTTAGATGACAATAAAAAAAAAAGAAGACAAACCAACAATTTTAGATGACAATTACTATCACACTCAGATATAGAGAGAGAGAGAGTATAAAAAACCTTCAAGCTTTTCCATGGCCAAACTTGAATGAAGAATGAGGTGGGAGAAGGAGACAAACAGTAAAGTGAAAAGAAGAGTCAAGGGAAAATTCATGGTGTATCATAAGGAAGGTGAACGTGTACAAGGGTTAAATTCTAAACGAGAGACCAAATCTTCAATGGAGAGTGTCTAGGCGAGACAGATAGGCTTTGAAAACACAGCACAGATAGATAAAAAGGATTGGCTCATTAATGAAAGAAGATTAAGATGATGGATCCAGTCAAGTAAGAGATGCTTTCTTGTTAGCACAGTTCTAGTCCGTACCCATGGCCAAGTAAAGGAAATCGAAGGACTGCCGAGGACCATCATATATATATGTACTCGTCACTTCAAACCAACATATGTGGGCTAATGGCTAGTAAATATTCCTTTTTGGAAACAAACAAAGGGTGGCCGGAATATGTCATCGGAAGGAGGAGGACCGTAGATCATTATATTATTATAATTATATTACAACAAACACTAAAATACGAGGAGGATTTACTATTCAAAATTGTATTGTGGATCCTATTCACGGCTAATATATGGGTTTGGTAGCTCATCAGATCCATATGTGGTTAAACCTAATGATATTGGGTCCAGAGGCTCTTTAAAATCATGCGTGTTTGGACTCAGTATGTAGCTAACCTCAAAGACATTGGGCCTGACAGTTCATTAGACCCTTACCTATTAGGCTCAGCCCATGGCCAGGCCTAAAGGCATTGGGCTTCGGAGCAAGCTAGACCCAAGTTATCTCAGTCTAAAACTCTACTAAGCTTAGGGATATTGGATATAGATGCAAGTTCTACTCATATATCATTGTATTACCCTCTCAGCTCATCGGTTGTCTCCTAAGTCTTTGTGTTCCATGTGAAAAGACTTAAAAAATCTTATGAGAATCGACCGGTTAGATTTGTCTTGTCATCCCTATAAATATGATGCCTTATCATATTGATTACACACTTTCGAATGGTCTTTTCAAAGAGATTTATAACTTCCTCCTAGTAGCAGTTGTAATTAAAGCAGAAGGCACTTAGCCTTCTTGGGGCTCTAAGGTAGGGCTACATGTCCTTCATTTATTAATGGAAGTGAGAAGCAATGGCCTACCTCTTCTCTTTCAATCCTATTTTTTACTTTTGCAAATATCTCTCTGAGATTTCTGCAACAGGAGACCTAAACAAGAAGATCAAGCCTCTCAGTCATTTTAAGAAGAGTTTTCTTCTAGGTAAAAACATAAACACTTTATTTTGTTCTTTCTTTGTTATACTTTATCTTATTAAAAAATGAGTTCTAAAAAGGTAGGAAGATTATATCATTTGAGGGGGATTTCAATTTCAAACTTCAAACTAAAATCGCTTTAAGGGTTAACTATCATTAGAATAGACCCTAGATTAGAGCGTGATTTGGCTCTACCCTTTTTTACTAGATGAGAAGACAAGATTATTCAGAGAGAGGTTGCATACTTTAAGTGACAAATAAAGCTACCTAAACAGGGATGACAATTTCACCTGAACTCGATGGATGCTAGTCTAAATTTACTTGAATAGATTTGAGTTTTTTTCATGTTGAGATTTGGGCAATACCTTAAGTCAACAGGTCAAGTTTGGGTAGGTATGGATATTGCCTTACCCAACTCGAAACTTCATCCGAATCTAACCCGAATTATATAAATAATCTTAAAGTTTGAAAAGGTTATACTTATACCAAGCATATATAAATATAAAATTTAGGGTTTTTTCTTCAATACAGTCTCACTCCTCTCAAGCTCTACAACTACTTCATCTTCTTTTCTTTAAGCTTTCTTTATTTTTATTAAAACTAGCCACATGACCCATACTTCTCATGAATCAAATGCTCTTTTTTCAAGTTGTATTTATACTAATAAATAGTATCAATCTTAGATAAGTTGTTTTCATTTCCTTTGTCAACTCTAAGCAACCAGAAAACATCACGATACTGATATTTGAGCTGGGTGATCGGGTCACTCAAGTTACTAGTAAATATGTTGGGGAAAACTTTATCATTACTTCCCCTATATATATATTTATACACATACAAGTTTCGGTAATCCTTTTCTTTGCAAGGGTTTATAAAGGGGTGTATTTTGTTATTATAATCTAAGTTCATCTCAGCTCCACTTTAGCGAGTGGACTCCCTTGTTTGTTTTTGAGAAGTTATTGAGAATATTTAAAGAGCCAACGGTTTTTATATTTAGACACTACTACATGCCAATCAATGGTGTTGATTCCATCCTTTTGTTCTTTACCTTTTTCATTAGGCCATATAGACATATAAAGGATGCTTTACAAGGTAAGGTCTATCATGTGAAGGAAGGGAGGAGGAAAATAAGTATTGGTTAAGTTCAACAATATAGCCAAACCTCAATTGGGTTATGCTAGTATCTGGTTTTGCTCTCACTAGTTATCTGATCCACAGCGAAGCACAAGTCATATAAATTATCTTTTTAACACAAAAACAAATGAATAAGTTAGCATTTCCTTCACATTTTTAACATAAAAAATATAAATTGTAAATTAAAAATTTTATGCATGTATTTAATTAAATAAATTAATAATTATTTATGCAATTGAACCAAATTATAAAACTTGATTTCTAACCAATCAAAGTTAACCGGCCAAATTTATGACTCGACTTATGGGCTCAATCAGATTCAATAATTTTTTATTTAATTATATAATAAGAAAAATAAATGCTCACAAAATCAAGAACCAACTAAATATTAGAGCATTTATTTGAAATCATTATAAACCTAAAAATATCAAACTAAAAAAATTACATTGCCCGATAAAAAAATCAATAAAAAATTAAAGAATAAAATTAAAAAAATAAACAAGAAAAATAAGTAAAAGAATCAATTATATAGATCAAATTGAAAAAAAAATAAAAAATATATAAAAATAAAAAAAATAAAAAAACTAGACCCAAGCATACAGGCTTTGTTGGCCAACATGCATGGCCTCCAATAAAGCTCGTGTGTGCAGGCTGGGATAACTCATGTGTCCGAGCTTGCAAAAATTCTTTATTTTTCATAGGACAAATAACTTATTATTTACCTTGATTGTTTTGAAAAATATATAATAATTGATGTGTTGCTTGCTTTGCTTAGTTTTCCTTAATCAATGGTTGTCAAAAAGTTAGACTTTAGGTGTTTAACACTCTAACAATCCCTTTAAAGCTATTTTTAGATTAAAAATACTTAAAAAAAACACTCTAAAAATTTAAATAAACCCGTTTATGTCTTTAAATAAAATAAAAAATGATCCATAAATTAAAAAAAATCAACCTGAAATATAAAGTGATTAATAACATGTTTTTTTTATTCCTATTATTGATTTTTATTAACATCATATATAATTAAAAGAATGCTTTGAAATAACCGAAGCTACGATTGTCGCACTCTGTATTTAGTTAATAGGTTCTTGGATAAAGTTTGTGTTCATATCATGCATCTAATCTGTTTATATAATATAAATAGATTTTATTTGGATTTAAAGTGATGACTTTGTTGGTAAAAGAATTTTAAAATATTGTAATAATAATGATAGTCATTGTGAGAAAAATATGAAAATTTCATATGAAATATTAGCGTCTAACATTCAATAAATTATGAAGTTTTATTTTTCTCCCAAAACATAAAGATTTCATGATATTAAGTATGATATGATAGAAATTACCAAAGTCATATGATGATGTCAACAGCAAAGAGTATGACACTCGTGCGACCAGTTTGGACTTCGCTTGAGTGTTGAAACGGGGCTTCATAGAAGGTTCCCTGGTCCTCTTACGACCAGAGGAAAATTTGACGGATGACGTTGAATTGTCCGACCTCGGCAAGGAAAGGAAAGTTCCGATCCTCCTCACCTTGCCACTTTCCGCTATATATATATATATATGTATTGCTGCTCCTGACTGAAAGAACGCGTAATCAGTTTTTCTTTCCAAACAAGCCCTAACGCTGCTGCTTAGATTGTTTTCCTCTCAAAGCCCTCTGTTTATTGCTTCCGAATTCAGTAAGGAATTAGTAACTTTTTTTTTATAAATTGATACACCCTGAGATCGAACTCCATCGAAGTTATATTTCTTTAGGCAACAAACGACATGATTATCAAAAAGAGAAGAATAGCTGTGCGAAGCCAGTCAAATTTTCAAGCCACGGTTTCTGTTTCTGATGATGATGAAAGCGGTGAGAAGTTGAGGATGAATATGGGAACCTGTTACTTCCCTAAAGATATCGAGTCGAACCCAGAAAGTCTAGGCCAAGACGCCCATTTTATTTGCCAAGAAAGACAAACCTTTGGAGTGGCTGATGGTGTTGGTGGTTGGGCTAAAAAAGGTATTGATTCTGGGATTTTTGCCAGAGAACTCATGTCCAATTATCTGACTTCTCTTCGATCCTTAAAGCCTGGTCGGGCTGTTGATCTAAAGAAGATATTGTTAAAAGCGCATTCCAAGACCGCTGCTATAGGATCATCCACTGCCTGTGTTGTTAGCCTTAAAGGAGACCGTTTGTGTTATGCCAATGTGGGTGACAGCGGTTTCATGGTTTTTAGAGGGAAAAGGCTTGTTTACAGGTCACCAACACAGCAGAATTATTTCAACTGTCCTTTTTCCTTGGGGAATTGGGTTGGGGATGGTAAGCGCCCGGTTACGGTTTTCCTTGGTGAATTTGATGTAGAGCAGGGGGACATTGTGGTTGCTGGTTCTGATGGAGTGTTTGATAATCTTTTTGGCTCTGAGATTGAGGAAATTCTTCAAGAATCTGAAGGAAGACCTTGGCCGCAGGACCTTGCATGGACCATCGCAACTGTTGCGTCCATGAATTCAACCAGCGAAGAATATGACTCTCCCTTTGCAACTGCTGCCGAGTCTGAAGGAATCGAGCACGTTGGAGGCAAAATTGATGACATTACTGTCATTGTTGCTATGATTGAGTTGGACCAGCCTAGAGTTAGCCAGGAGGAGGAGGAGGAGTAACACGCATTCATTCATGACAGGAGACAAATTAGTTTGGAGTCCCTGATCTGCAACTGTAAAAATTAAAGCTAGTATCTTTGTTTTTTCCGTTTCTTCTTTACACTTGAATAAATTCACTGATTGTTTGCTACATCAAAGATTTTAAGTAAGCATCAATCAGTGATGCAGTCAGGTATAGGATCATCACCATTGTTTAATGTATTTACCCTCCTTTAAAGGCTCTTTGAGAAATCATCTATGTGGTCTCACCGATCAATTCTGGCATGATCAAATTCTTTCCATTT